CGTGGTATAGGGGATCTTGTAGTCAAAGGTCTTGCCGTGAAGGTGCAGAAAGGTGGGGTAGATCCGAATGTCGTAACGGCCTCGGGGAGTCAGACACTGCAGCTCCCGGAAGATGCAGATGGCGTCTCCAGTAGCCTGGATCACATCCGCCTTAGACAGCACGTTCTGGGCAAAGGCCTGCAAAAGTACACGCTGGTGATCAGGCAGCAGGGATCCTGCTTCCAGGCGAGCCAGGGCCTGCTCAGCACCATCTGCTCTCAAGGAGACCGGGGGAGGCCTCACCTCAACTGGGTCCACACCATCCTCCTGAGTGGGCGGCACATAGAAGCGCACCTCCATGAGGGACACCTCTGCGTCATCGTTCTGGTGGAATTCCAGTGTCACCTCGTTCTTGCCGGTGGTACACTGGGACACATTGCTGAGGGGTATCTCAAAGACAGGCTGGTCACCAATGTCAAAGGAAAGCAGCTGCCCTGAGGGGAAAGGGCTTATCAACCACAAGCTCCTCCCCTCAAGTCTGCATAAACAATAGCCCCGCCAGACACCCAAGGACAGAGCACTGAACTATTTGGCCGCACTGTACCCCAAGACCAGGCACAGTGCTTCATACACTATTGGTCCTCAATAAATTTATGATGAATTACAAACTGACAGGAAATCAGAAACAGTAGCAGAAAACGAGCAAAACAAGGTAAAGGCTGCAACCCGTCATCCTACCTTCTTCTCCAAACCTCAGTCTTCCCCAGACTCACCACCAAACTTCACCGTTCCCCAGTTCCAGCCCTTCACACAGAGGTCCTTCTCCATCAGCTCAAGGCGATAGTGAGTTTTGAAGAAATCCGAGAGTTTCTCAAACTCCTGTGGGCAGAGGGGAGACAGAAGTCCCTACAAATCCTTGTGGCCTTAACACAAACATTCTGGGATTCTCTCGGAGAAACTGCCCTCAATCTACCTTCTATCAGAAACCCAGCTGTTGAAAGAAGCTATGGCCAGGGGCTGGATCTCAGAGTAGGGGAGGCATAAAGTATGGTCATCTCCTGGTCATGGGCCTCCCCATGCTCTCTGACTTTATACAGGCAACACTTTAATGAAAGGGAAATTAACATGCAGTAAAGCATTTATCTCAAACAGTTCAAAACAGAAAAACCTCAAACTAAAGGACTAAGATTCTGAATCTGGACAAAGGCAATGAGCAGAAACCACCAAAAAAATGACAATGGTAGAAAACCTTCTGGAGTCAAAGCATAAGACACCCAAGGCTGAACACTGCTTAATGGCCATAATGTCCCTGCTCTGAGGGGCCAAAACTAGCAATTACATGCTTATCAAAAGAGCCCCAACTCTTTCTAGAATACGACACAAGGTGGCACAGTAAAAGGAGGTTTATGGCCACAGGACATCTCACCGATTCTCGGAAGCCATCATACTTGTAGACATGGCCATTCTTCGTAAGCAGTTTAAGTCCGTGGCCCAGGGCGACACGGCGCCAGATGCCTTCAGTCAACTCGCCGGCCTGGATATTGTCCACTTTGCCCGTCTTACTATTCTTGAAAATGATACCCTGGCGGCTCAACCTCAGCCGGCCATCGTTCTGTTGGGAAAACAGGCCCAAATGCAAGGTTACAATACACAATGTGTACGGGGCACAATGCCTACAAATGGGCTGGCCAGACCCTGATGCAGGACCAACAGATGCTGGGGGGAGGGTGAGGAAGAAGAGACAAGCAACCAGGAAATCTGGATCCTAAAACCAAACCCGGGCATCCAAAACCCCTGCAGGTCCTTAGTCTGCCCTTGGGATAGAGCAGCACGAACAGTCCCTTTCAAACTGCAATCCTAGAACTCCTATACAGACGCTTTTTGAGTTACAGTGGCTCAACTTAGAATTTTTCAACTCTATGATGGTTTTAAAATGACACACATTTAACAGAAACCATAATTTGAGTTTTGAATCTGTTATCTTTTCCCAAGCTAGCAACAGGTGGTACAATCGTCCCCTGATGCTGGGCAGTGGCAGCGAGCCCTAAGCTCCCAGTCGGCCACACAATCACCAGGCCTGATCACCAGGGTCAACAACCAATACGCCTACCACCCTTCTCTACCCGTTCTGTCTCACTGTTTCAGGACAGTATTTAACAAATTACATGAGATGTTCAAACTTTGTTATAAAGTAGACTTTGTGTTTGATGGTGTTGCCCAACTGTACACGGATGAAAACATTCTGAACCTGTTTAAGGCTAAGCTAACCTACGATGTTCATCAGGTTAGATGTTTTAAATACGTTTTCGACTTAAACAGTATTTTCAATTCACGATGAGTTTTTGGCGATGTAACCCCGTTGGAGGGGCAGGAAGATCTGTATGCATTGCCCTTTGTTGGGGGAAACACCAACTACACATTATCCTCCCGCTCCTTTTCTAAAATAGCAACATCAAAGCAAGCTCTTATTAATGGACGAGTGGTCTACTCCGCCTACCCTCTCTCAGCCTTTACTAAAAGCCCAGGTCCTTCTTACCATGGAGCCTTTCACCTCCTGATAGACGTCGTTGAACTCCAGTGTTTCCGCCATACTGATCTGCCCCTGTTGGCCTCGATTGGGAGCTGGGCCCCAACTCCTGGGTGGGTGTGCGGGCACTCAGCACGTTGGGAATCTGAATTTAAGAGGGGGCTAGACAAACATCAAAGACAACATCTCACTCGGCCCACGGATGGAGCCAGGTGGCATGCCCTGGCGGAACCTGGGATGTCTCAGAATCTCCTCTGCCTGGGAACCTACAGCGGGCCCTGCAGACCTCAAGGAGTCAGGCCCAGCAGGGGCTGGAGAATCCGGCTTGAAGGTGCGCCTACAGCGGGACCCGACACCGGCTCGGGGCGCTCCACCAGGTGCCATGGCAACGGGCAGCAGAACCCCGGGGCCTGACCCTCAGCCGCGCCCCGACCCAGCTCCGAGTGCAAGGCTTCCCTCCCAGCACTCCCACCGCGCCGCGGCCCTGGACCCGCGGCTCCCCCGCCCCCTAAAATGGATTCGCCCGCTGCCCGTGGATTCGAACGCGGAACGGTCCATCTTGAGGATCCCGCGGGGGGAGCGGGGCCCGCGCCCTCTCGGGGCACTGGGCCGGCGACCACCCACCTCCTCAAGCTGCAGCCTCGCGACGGCCCAGGTGCGGGCGGTGGGCGCGCTGGGGGACGCGGGAGGGGGGGCGGGGACAAGGGGGATGGGGGGGACGCTGGGGAAGCTTTTCCCGCGTGCGCGGCCCCGCGTCCCGCCACCGGAAGCCGTGCACGGACCATAGAGAGGGTGAGCTGGCTAGAGAGACACGAGCCCGGCCCGCCTACGAGGCGGCCTCCTAGAGCGTCAACCGCCCAGGAGGACCTGAAGGAAGCGGAGCTGTGATTCAACTCTCACCGCGTGGCACCTGATGAGAAGATGGGAGGGTGGAGGACTGCTTTAAAAATTACACCTCTCCAGTGGAGGACTAGGTTCTGGAGACAAATTCTGTAGTTTTCTCTTGTCGGGCTTCCCACGGACGCGTGTGTGTGTCTCTCCCAGGCCGCCCTGCACAGGGGTGGCCCCTGTGGAGTAGTAGAAAGGTGTCTGTGGGGCAAGAAGACAAACATTGCGCGCTGCGGAGAGAAATGAGCCGCCCGCACCCGGGGTGCCGGCGTCACGGTGACTGTCCCAGTTGCCCCGGCACCCAAACACTTCACTTCGGAAAACGCAGTGTCGGGGAGGCCTGGAGGAAGCTGGCGGATGGCGGGGTCAGATTCCCGCGCTCGAGTCAGTCCCCTCAGAGCCCGCCCGGATTCGAAACCCCGTCTGCGCGGCCTGGAGGCCCGCCCAGGAGAGGTGTTTGAGTGTGTCCGCCCCAACCTTCCTTTGCAGATGGGAAAGCCGAGGCCCAAAGAGGATGTGCCCAGGGCCCCAAGTCTCCTTGCCCTCTCTCCCCCAGTTCCCCTCTGTCCTAACCACGGCGATCTACATCCAGAACGATGGATGGTACCTGTGCTGCATGAAAACATTAGAACAGAATTTTTTTTTAAAGAGTTTATTTCTTTATTTGACAGAGAGAGCACAAGCAGGGGGAGCGGCAAGCAGAGGCAGAGGGAGACGGAGGCTTCCCAGGAGGCTTCCCACAGAGCGGAGAGCCCCAGGTGGGGCTCCACCCCAGGACTCTGGGGTCATGACCCCAGCCAAAGGCAGATTCTTAACTGACTGAGCCACCCAGGCGCCCCTAGGACAGAATATTTAAATTCAAGACTTCCCTGACAATCTGACTTAGTTATGCCCGCTTGCTAACTGAGCCCTGGGATAAGAGAGGGCAGGAATGCTATGCTGCTCCCTGACCTCAGGACTTCAACCTCTGGGAATTGGCTCTTCTAGCACTGTCCGGTAACATGCATTCACCCGGATTCAGTAACTACGGATTGAGCTCCCACTCAATTCTAGGATTTGAGGAAACTAGGAAAGAAGACAGAAACAGCCCCAGCCTTCCAGGAGCATGTTATCAAACGAAAGATTCAGAGAAATAAACTCACAGGAAAACAAAGCTGGGGCATTGCAAAGGGTTTTAAGGAGAGCATGAAAGCAGCTGGTGAGCCGGGATGCAGATGCAGCATAAGAGAACGGAACAGAAAGGGTAGACAGAGTGCAGATAAAACATGACTCCCAGAGGGCCCTAGCCAGTTGCATCCCAGGCAATCAGGAGCCGGGATTGGAGACCCCACCCCTGCCGTGACATCACAGGGAAGTGGGGTGGAGACGAACAAAAAGGGGGTCCCCCGCCCTGGCCTTGGACTCCTGGCAGCCCAGAGTGCCAAGGGTAGAGAGAGCCTGGGCACTGAGCAAGGGTTGCCTGACTTAAAAGAACAGGCTCTCCATTCCTCAAGCCTCCTCCAAGCTGTCCCCTCCAGGCTTTGATCTGTTTCCCTGTTCTGAGGACCTCCCCCTCCTGAGGCCACCATTGGGTCCCTTCTGAGTGACCCCTGAGTGCTCTCTCAGCATGAACTGCGTGTCAGATTTCTTCACCTACGAGACCACCAAGTCAGTGGTTGTGAAGAGCTGGACCATTGGGGTCATCAACCGGGCAGTCCAGCTTTTGATCATCTCCTACTTCGTGGGGTGAGTCCTGGGGCCCTTTGGGTCCTAGCAGGGGAGGGCTGCCGGGTGTCCCGTCAGGGTTGCTGTCCAGTTGCCTGACCCTCTCCTCTCTTCGAGGAAACAGTCTCTACCCTGGAGTCCAAGGACTGGATTCTGCCACCCCCATCAGGGATCTGGTCCCCAGATTAGTTCCTTTCCCCAGTAAATCCTCTGGAGTCAGAGAGTGGTTTCTAGGCACACACCCCAAGGGGTGGAATTCTTGCCCTGGTGCCAGCCTCCACCAGGAGAGGTCCCAAGTGACCATCTCCCCTCTCCCTTCTTTCCTGCTCCCACCAGAGAACAAACCACCCTCACCTCTTCCCAGTCTCCTCAGCCAAAGCTTTGGGGTCTCACAAAGATGAGGGAGCACAGGAAAGGGGAAGGAGGGAGACAGCATGGGTCGATCAGGTCATGGTGGGATCATGGTGGGGTGGGAAGGAGAGAACTGGACTGCTTTGGAATGAGGGATTCCCCTTCTGGCTTGAGGAGATGATGAAAGAATGGGGCGAGGGGAGAAGCCCTTGCTCTTGGAGGGTAGGACAAAGCAAGGTGTCTGCTCCTTGGGAGGGGACGGGGAGACACACGGGCACAAATAACTCAAGGGAAGAGTTGCTTAGGGGAAGGTGGGTTTTCTGAACATGATCCAGGTCCCTCCTCGTGAATCCAGAAGCATTCCCCTTTGTCACAAAGCATAATTCTTTTTACCATATAACCCATCCTGGGAGCTGCTTAAGAGCCAGTGGTCCGAAAACCTCTCAGCTCCCACCTTTAGAGGCATCCACCACCCCACACACACACGCACACACACGTGTATGCACCAAGGGCCAGGGAGCAGACAATGGCTGGGGAGAAAACACAGGTTCCATCCTTCTTGTGGTCATTTACACACACCAGTGGGTACCAGAAATGACAGGCAGAAACCCCTAGAGGTTTTCTTTCCCGGTGTGCAGTCTCTGTCTTGCCTGAGACAATGGCTCTGTGTATGAGAAACAGCAAGCCACTGACAACAGTCATGAGTTAATTGAGTCAGTCAAAGAAGCCATCCGGTGTGCATGTGGGCTGGAGCTGCACGAGCGCAGGCCTCCTTGCCTGAAAGGTCAGAGGAGTATATGAGCGAGCGTGTGGAAGAGTGGGCAGGCGTGTGGATTAAGGGATTTTTTGCTTTGCGTGCTTTGTGGGAGCCAGTAGGACTCATTTCTGTGGCTGCTGTCGGCAGGGCTGTGCATCCAGTGCTCCTCTCAGGGATATTAGAGAGAGCATTCCAGCTTTGGGGTAGGAAAACAGCCTTGATGCTTACGTCCAACTTCGAGGTTTTGTGAGATACGATGTTTTGCAAATGCTCCATGTCCGCATCGGCAGAGGCTGGCTCAAAGCTGGTTTTTAAATGTCCCACGTTCACATGTGTATGCGATGCCGTCGCCGTTTATAGCCACTAGACAGTATGGTGGTCGAGGTGAGCCCAAAAGCTGCCTCAGCACATTGCTGGCTCTGCTGGCTCCAGACAGAAAGCTGATAGAGGGTAGACAGCTCCTGGACCGGCCTGCTCTACTCTCCCACTGGCCCTGTCGCTCCCTCATCGTGATATGATCTGATGCTCTGACCCCCAGTGCTGGAGCCTGGCCTGTAGAAACAAGCATGAGATGCTCTCTGGCATCTTGATATCCAACCCCATCCATCTCTCAGCCTGACAGCTCCCCACGGAGCAGCTCCTTCCAGTTATACCCATGCAGCCTGTGGCCCAGCCCCCCGGCCTGAGCCCCATCTGTGAGCACATGAGCCCAGGCACCATTAGGACTCCATGAATCCATTGTCTTTAATTTAGCAGAAATTTATAAAGCATTTCTTCATGCCAGGCATAGAACTTGGGCAAAGCAGAGAGGGCCCTCAACCTCAGGGAGCTTACGATGCAAGAGACGGATGTTAATCAAACAATCTCCACAAACAAATGTAAAATTTCAACTGAGGCTCAAGACTTGAAGAAGAGGTGCACAGTGCTGGGAGAGCGGCTAGTATGGAGATTCCTGACCTGGTCCAGGAGCCAAGAGAAGGTTTTCTGGAGATAAGATGCCCAAGCCAAGATCTGAAGAGTGAGAGCAACCCAGGAGAAAAAAGGGAAGGAAGAGGGTTCAAGCCAGCTCTGCAAAGGGAAAGAGCCAGGCAAATGGGGACAAGAAAAGAAGGTCTCTATGGCTAGAGCAGAGGGAGCAAAGGCAAGGGTGGTTGTAAAATGGGGGTGGGTCACTCCCAGCCAGACCTCAGACACCCTCAGAGCTTTTGTTTTTACACAGGGCCAGTGCATGGGAAGTGTGTGGGGGGAGGGGGGGCAGGGACAGGGAGAGACAGACGATGAGATCTGAGTTGGGAAAATCACTCTGGCTAATTCACCAAGGGACTAGAGCAGGCAGGAGGATAACCTGTTAACGGCGCGGTGCAGTCATGTTGAGAGAGACAATGGTGGCCTGGACTCAGTAGAATTTGGAGGATTTTTAATGCTGTGACATCAACAACTAACTAACGGTTGAATCTCTTCCATAGTATCCCTGCGAGGTAGACCGGATGCAGTCTTAGGCGGCCACATGTAACAGGAGCCAACTGTGTCTCTTATGCATGGACCGCAACGCAGCCGCTCATTTTCTCCACATGTGCTCTCACCCCTGCGCCTGCCTCTGCTGCCTGTCTGGAGTTGACACCACTTCATGCCTGGTGTCCCCTACCCACCCAGGTGCACAGAGAGGCCAGTGGTGTTTCTCCCATGGCTTTCCCAGGGCCCAGTGGCAATCCCCAGTCTCCTCTGTGCGATGGAACTTCCTAAGAGCCAGTCTCTTTAGGGGGTCCATGGGGAGCAGCAGAGGACACAGGAGATCCTGGGGACTGAGTTTCCCCGAAACTGCTGTTGCACGGCCTGAGCTAGTTTGCAGAGCCTCCTGGAAGGAAGCCACCTCGCCTGAAACCAGCAGAGGGGCATTCCCTCCCGTCTGATGCTCCGTCATCAGAAGCACCTGTGGCAGCTGATGGTGCCTCAGACCCCTCACAGCCCTGCTCTCCCCATCCCTTCCTCCCCCTGCAAGGCCTGATCCACAGACTCACTATTTGCACAGCTGGCCCGTGTGGTTCATAATAGCCAGCCTCATTTCGATTCTTTTTTGTAAGATTTTATTTATTTATTTATTTGAAAGTGGGGGGTCAAAGAGAGAGTGTGGGGAGAGGACTAGAGGGAGAGGGACAAGCAGACTCCATGCTGAGCATGCAGCCTGATGCGGGGCTCAACCCGCCGACCCTGAGAGCACAACCTGAGCCGAAATCTAGAGTCGGATGCCCAACTGACAGAGCCACCTCAGTGCCTCAAGCCTCACTTTGACTCTTACGAGGAAGCTCAACAAATACAGTGCTTAAACAGGGGAGCTGTTCTAGTTTAAAGAGAAGGGCCTGGAATTCCACCTTCTTGGCCCACCACCCCATCACTTCAGCCCAGGGTGGCACCCTGAGGCACCCCGCGGGACACCAGGTGACGAGAGGATGGTGGGAAGACCTGTTGGAACCCCCGTCTTATAGGTGCAGAGAGGAGCGCCACTCTTTCCCCCACCACACCTCTCTGCAACCCCATGATGGGGAGACTGTGGAACAGGACCCTCTGGTTAGAAACCTCGCTGTGACACTAATAGGAGTGGGGCTTGGACAGGTCACCATCCATCTCTAAGTCTCTAAGTATCTGGAAAATGGGTTTAGGAATGCCTACCCCAGGGAGTTATGGCAAGGAGAACATGTCAAGTGCCTTGCCTGAAATGGGAGACTCACTAATAGATGGCAACTATCACCATATCCTAGATTCCCCGGCACACCTCCCCCTTCCCCACCACCCAGCTCACACCTTCCCAAGAGACCCCTCTCCTCCTGGCTCCCACAGCACATACTCCCCACGCCCACTCCCCGGGCTCCTCCCTGACTCCATGGGGGTGGACAGAAGGGTGCCAGGACGCTGCTCTGGCCTCCTTCCTGCACATCCCACCTGCCAAGGAGCTGCCACCCGCCTTCCGCTCTATAAATAATAAACCAGGAACATGAGAAAAAAAATAAGTCAGAGCAGCCGAGTAAATGCCAAGAATTGAAGGCTTAGTCCTGCCCCATCTCCTCAGCCCTGGCCTCTAGAGACAGACTCAGCCCCTCTGTTCTGGAAATGAAGCATCCCCTTATTTTAAGCTGCACTGATGACGTCCTTGGGCCCCAAGGGGCCACAGAAATTCTTCCAGTTATTATTTAACTCAGAGAGCGAACTCTGATGTGGCCTCTCCTACCCCCTGGCATAAGAAAGAGCCTTGAAGGAGGAGAAATGGGAGGAAAGAGATAGGTTAATTGTTCTTCGAGCCCTAGGGCCTTTCCTCCTAAGACTTTCCCAAGGCTGCAGATGTTCCCCTCGGGACCAGCAGGGCCAGCCGCACAGGGACCAGGATCCCATTCAGGATGTGAGGTGGTTCTGAGCAGTCTGCCTGGGTGGGAACCCACCTACCGGCTTGGCAAGTTAGCACAGCACTCTGCGCCTCTGTTTCCTTATCTGTAATAAAAGGAGAACAACAGAGGAGTCTCACTGGGTGGGGATAAGGACCCAATGAACCCTTAACCACACAGAGCACTCAAGTGGGATGTTTTGGTTAGATGATAATAATCTGAACCCTGCTTCTCATTGGCAAATGTTCCTGGACTTTAAGGATAGGGTAAGGGGCCTTAAGAAACCGTGTCATTAGATCACCACTCAGAGATGTGTCTATTCTGTGGCCAGGCACACTGAGGCTCCAGAGGGCATGTTTCAACTCCCACTCTGGACAGAGGTGCACTGAGCTGGGAGCTGGGAGATCTGGGTCCTCAGCCTCACTCCCTCCACGGCGCAGGGCCCCTGGCCGTGAGCTGGAAATACTCATTTGGACATAAGGTGGTGGATGAGATTTCTATGTGACCCAAACTTCCTTATGAGACTTGATGAAAACTCTCCTTTTCTAAAAAAGAAAGAAGAAAAGTGCTGGGAAAGGAAAGCACACAGGATCACAAACGTCCACGCATCCCCACAGGCAGGGTGCTCCTAAGAGCCTTCTACAAGCCTGTGCAGCCTCCGAATGGTGCATTCCTCAGGACACTGCCTGATATAAGGCAGCAACAATAAAACAGGGGACAGGTTAGGAGTTGTCTGTCCACCACCGCCGGCTGTGACTCCACCCTTTCAATCCCACTCAAGGGAGCTTTTGGAATTCAAGCGCAGGAGGGAAGCCCCATGATGGGGATAACTCCCAGCCCTCTCACTGAAAACTGAACAAAGAGTCTCTTGCAAATACCAGCCTGTGTGCACGTGAACTTGATGGGCATGTGCCCATCCCACAGGTCACTGTGGCTACCAGCATGACCCAGGAGCTGTTCCTCTCTATGGGGACCTCAGAGGTCATCCAATCCAAACACCTCCCAACTGAATGCATCTCCTTGAGTCTTCCCAGGCATGTGGAACTCACCACCTCCCACAACTGTCTGCTCTTGGACAACTTTCTGGGGTTGGAAAACTCCTGGGCTTGAAGTCCCAACTACCTCCTTATAAAGTCCTCAGGTCAGCTTCCCAGCACAGCACGTGCCCAGCTTTGTGTTCTCTGCACTACACAGTCTCCCGTTCCTTCCTTCCACTCATCCTCAACCTTGTGCCTTCCTGGTTAGCAGGCAGAAAATGACCCTTGTCCAGCATTTCCAAAAGCACACTCCCCGATTCTAGAAGAGGTCACCAGTGTTTCTCCAAAACTAAGAGTGTGTGCGGCACGTTCTGAACTCATTTGATGACCTTTCTCGTTTGTACAATGGGGACAGCAACAGCATCTGCCTGCCAGCGTGCTGTCTGGAACGGATAGGACTGGTCACGGGCTGGAAGCCTGCTATGGAGGCGGAGAGTGGCTGGAGCCTTGAGGGCTGTGATGAGAAAGGCAGGCCCCTCACAGAACTGCAAAGGGAAGAGTTGCCTGTAGGCTCTTGCTGCTGGGGGAGGCTGCCCTAGTCCAGGGAGGGAGGTGCCGGTGGAAGGAAGAAAAGAGGCCCTCCCAGATTCTGGCCGCGGGAAGAAGGCAGTACAGGTAAATGTCCACTGGGTGGCAGCACGCTCCAAGGAATAAGATTTGCAGCCTCTGCCTCCAACCTGCCCGGGAAAGGCTCAGCCCCTCCCTTCCTCCTCCACCCTTCTCATCTGGCGCCTGCACAGAGGGAGACTTCTCCAAGCGCCCAGCTCCCAAATGCCTTCAGCGACTTGTTTACTGAACACCTACTATGTGCCGGCACTTAGGATATACCCATGAGCAAAGCCTGGGATGCTCTGGGTCAGAGGCTTAAGACCCTCTGCTCCTTCTCTTTCCAGTTGTCTGCCAAAGAGGCGGCCTCCCAGTCTGCGGGAATGATGATGCATTGGCAAAGGGGTGATGTCGCCCTCAAGGGGGTGAATATTTGTTCTTGAGGGATTAAAAAAAATCGTACTCTTCTTATGTGTAAAACACAAATAAATACACATACAGCACATAAGCTGATATCTGTAGTATTAAAATTTCAGGTTGGGGGAGGGGGGAAGTAGGGAAAAAATTCTACAAATGGTCCTGAAGCAGGAAAAGGGAAAGATGGGAACATACCACTCTAAGCCAACCCAGGGCAAGGCCTCTCACCTCCAGCATAGGCCTTCCCCAGGCCAGACACCCCATGTGGTCTAGGGTTGGGGAAGGAAACTTTTCCCAGCCTCTGTCTGATGGGCCTAGACCCTCCTCTCTTGCTCTCCCCCTATTCTCCTGCCCAGGTGGGTTTTCTTGCACGAGAAGGCTTACCAAGTGCGGGACACAGCCATTGAGTCCTCAGTCGTCACCAAGGTGAAGGGCTTTGGACGCTATGCCAACAGAGTCATGGACGTGTCTGATTATGTGACCCCACCCCAGGTATGGTCCCCCATCCCAGGGCTACGTGTGGATGTCCAATGATGGGGCAATACAAGGAGGATGTCGATGGGATTCCCCAAACCAGTGGTATCAGTGATCAGTGAAACCCCTTCCCAGTGGCCGGGGGGAGGGCTGCCCTCCAGATCCGTGATCAACACAACACAGAGAGGAGCAGGAGAAGCAAGGTGGGTGGTTGGACTTGACTTGAGCCCACCTCTGCCCTTTATTAGTCCTGTGACCTTGGCCAGATCTCTTACCCTCCACCTTAGTTTCCCCACCTGTAGAATGGGGATAACAGCAGTACCCACCTCATAGATTGGTACTGGTGCATTTTTTTCTCTCCCTTCTCCTACCAAGGGCACCTCTGTCTTTGTCATCATCACCAAGATGATAGTCACTGAAAACCAGATGCAAGGATTCTGCCCAGAGGTGAGGGGAGGGAGGGAGGCTGGATGAAGCAGGGCAAAAAGAAACCACTGTGGGTGGGGAGCGATGGTAGGGAGGGGCGTGGGTGCACACAGAGGCTGGAGTTCCAGCCTTGGAGCTGTGTCTCAAGATCTCCGCCTTCCAAAGGCCCCTGGTTACCGGGAAGCACTGGGAGCCAAAGGGCTCATCCAGGGCCAGCGCAGGGTCCCACACCCACCTGCAGACCTGTCTCCCTACAGAGCGAGGAGAAGTACCACTGTGTATCAGACAGCCAGTGTGAGCCTCAGCGGTTCCCGGGCGGGGGTGAGTGCAGCCCTTCTCCACCCCCTCACAGCCCCAGGGTGTTAGTGGGACCCTGGAAGGTAGCATAACCCCCATGGCGGACAGAGCGGGAGCTGGCCTGTTCCTTGTCATTCTTCCAGCACTTAAGGCACTCCCTGTGTGCCAGACATGGGGGGCTGCCCCTGGAGAAGTTCGCAGCCCAGGGACGGTGGTGACAGACAGGCGTGCATGAGGGAGCAAGTGCTGTCATGGGGGAACCATGGGCACTGGGGAAGGGAGAGGGATTGGTTCTAAGTAGGGGACCCCACATGACTTCCTAGAGTTAGCAATGTTCTAGATGGGCCCTAAAGGATGACAAGAAGTTGGCAGTATAGAAGGGCTTTTAAAAGGACATTCTAGGCAGAAAGAATAGCTACAGCAAAGACTTGGAGGCCAGGAGGAGTACACTGTGCCCTGGGAACAAGAACAGGGCCTTTGGGGTGGCTGGGCCTGGAGGCTGTCACCTCCCTTTGGCTTAGTCTAAGGGTTGGGAGGAGCAAAAGATGAGAGCTCAACAGGGTTCCTGTACCACGGGTCCACCTCCCCTGCCCTCCCTGTTTGTCCCCTCCCCTGCAGGATCCCTGAACAGGGGGTGGTCCCTGATGAGGGGTGGGGCAGGGATGAGGGAGAAGCAAAGGTCCAAGCAGGCACCCAGCATATGTGGCTCCCCCTCTCAGGTATCCTTACGGGCCGGTGTGTGAACTACAGCTCTGTGCTCCGGACCTGTGAGATCCAGGGCTGGTGCCCCACCGAGGTGGACACAGTGGAAATGTGAGGACCCTGCCCCAGCTCTCCTTTGCCAATAGGGAGAGCTCTGCATCTCTGAGCCTGCAGAGAGTCTCAGAGGTACCCCTAGTAGTGTCCACTCCTGGGCTGGAAAGTGGCCTCAGGATGGCACCTTTCCCTACCTCACCTGCCACTCTCCTCCCCCTGGCCCTCAGGCCCCAGAGAGGCCATGACCAGGTGCCTGGTGGGAAACGTCCACCAGGAAAGGTGGTCCCTGGGGGAAAAGCCCTTTGTTTCTTTTCCATTTCCTCGTCCCCCAAAGCTAAGACTCTCTTGTTCTCCCCCACAGGCCTGTCATGATGGAAGCCGAGAACTTCACTATTTTCATCAAGAACAGCATTCGATTCCCCCTCTTCAACTTTGAGAAGTGAGTCCCAGCTCCCTCCCTAAAGAAGAAAGCGGGGCACCCATCCCACCCTGCCAGCTCAGTTTCAGAGGGTGGAGAATCCTGTCCACATGGCTCCCCACACTTGCTCACCCTCTGCCCATCTCCCTGGAGCTCCTATTCCCAATCTCCCACCTGGCCTTGACCACCCAGTACTAGGTGGGCTCTGGGGCCAACCTCTCAGCCAGCCTCCCGCCTTGGGGCTCGGAACCCACAGACGGGAGTTCTGCTGGAGGCAGGTCAGGCACAAGTTCAGCCTGGGCCTGGAACCCGGATACCTCCAAAGGTCGGGGCCGAGGGCTTTCTTTTTTCCTCCCACATCAAGCCCAAGCAGAGGTGTCCCTTTGCCACTAGTTAGTTAGGAGTTCATTGACTCCTTCGCACGCAAGTCCTCGGTGGGCATCAGGCGTGGGCAAAGCACAATGCCAGGCACCACGGAGGTGCTGAGAGAACTCGGGTGTGACTCTTAGCCCCTGGGACTCCCAGCCTAGGAGCTGGGGGTATTAGATACCAACACACTCAACCCTGATATGGAGAGAGGGGGATAGAAGTTGCGGGGAAGATGCAGGAACAGAGGTGACAGAGCCCGCGATCGTCCCAGACATCGGGTCCCAGAGCGCGCTGCCCAGGCGGGAAGGCTAAAGACCTGTGCGGTGCCTGTCTTCCCGCCAGCCCTGGCCTTGCTTCTCTCCTCCGCAGGGGAAACCTCCTTCCCAACCTGACAGCCAGCGACATGAAGACATGCCGCTTCCACCCTGACAAGGACCCCTTCTGCCCCATCTTGCGGGTGGGGGATGTGGTCAAGTTTGCAGGGCAGGATTTTGCCAAACTGGCCAGCACGGTGAGGACCTAACCAAGGACCGGGGTCCCCTTTGGCAGGTGGAGGGTGGAAATACCCGGAGGGCAGAGCAGCGGCCGCGCAGCAGCGCCACCTAGTGGAAGCACTCCAGACCTGCAACTGGCTCGGGCCTCACCGTGTGCTCCCGCCCCTGTCCGGAGGGCCTGCCTCCCTCACCCTTCCCGCCAAGCCAGGTCCCGGGTTCCCACCGTCACACTTGACCTTAGAGCGCTGAAAAAGCCCGTACAATGGGAAAGTGGATCCTAGATTGCTGCTAAGGGACGCAGGACAAAAGCAGGATCTAGAGCCCCAAAGGTCCACACCCCTGACTGCCGTATGTTGTTTACTAAGGAATGTCTGCCAAATCGCTTCCCCTCCACGTAGAGAATGGGAAGAACCACGCGTCTGTGTGTCACGACCCCCAGCCCCCACCCTGGCAGGCGGTGGAGACAGCCCTCCTCATAGTTGGACCCTTCCCACAGGGTGGAGTCCTTGGCATTAAGATCGGCTGGGTGTGCGACCTGGACAGGGCCTGGGACCAGTGCATCCCCAAATACTCCTTCACCCGGCTGGACGGCATTTCCGAGAAGAACAGCGTCTCCCCAGGCTACAACTTCAGGTAATCCCCGGTTTCCTGGGGCCTTGGGAGGAGGAGGCAGGAGCTGTCCTGAAAAGTCACACCTCCAGCCGCCATGCACATGGGGAAGAAAAGGCCCCACACACCCCCATCAGGTGTTGGCTCAAAGTCAGGAAGTGCTTTCTAACTGTCACCGCCAGGAGACGGATAGGCCAGGTCCGCAGGCAGGGCACGTGACCAAGGTCTCCCAGTAGAGCGTGGGCTGTGATTCTGAGCCTTTCTTAGCTCCGGTTCGAAAGCCGTCATGTGCCCAAGGAATGCCCTGGCAGCCTTCTCAGGTACCTGCATTATCTAAGGTTTCTTGATCCACAAAGCAAGGGCTATAGTGGGATCAGTTTACAAGATGGAAAGTTTGTCTTTCTGTTCATAACCAGGAAGTTCCATCTGAGTCACAAATCACAACTACCATGGTCAGGAGTGCTTCCACGCCGTTCCAAGCAAGAGCTCAAGCCGATCTTTCAATATCATCTAGTTTCGATCTCCAATGGCCTTGAGCCATAAGGAATTTCCCCTGAGGGCCCCTCCCATCAACCTTGCTTTGAAGAAAAGGAAGAGAAAACCCAGGGTTAACTGTCTAGAACCAGTTGAAGCTGACCAGCCCTTGACCTTCTGCTATCCTAATGTCCCCGTCTAGGAAACGGCAATAGGATCGTTATCTCTGTTCTGTTTTGCCCTCAATTTTCCAAGACCCTGAGATTTCTGGGAGGGCTTTGAGGACGTACAATGGTGCTATACACTAAACAGGGGACGTTGGGGAAATAGGCAGGGATCAGGGGGAAAAAAGTACACTTAAGAATATGTTTCAGTTACACATTCAAAGAATTGGTACTCGAACTTTCTAAGTGGTGGTGATGTTTTCCAACAGAACAGCAGACGGATGCAAAAAAATAATCATTTCACCTTTTTCTTACCTTTATTTGTAGTTCTAAAAGTATATGTAAAACTACATCCCATTACCCTTTATATTTAATAGTTTAAAATATATATGTATAGTCTCCGGAGAGGAGAATTTTTTAAAATTTGAAAGTGCTTTCATAATCAACTCCAAACTTTAAAAAACCATAGGAAACAACACATATTTTAAAGTAGGTTAAAAATACTGTTCGGCTCCCTGGCAGAAATTGGCATATTTACTCAGTGGGTACATCACAGAGAAATCAATACAAAGGATATTTGTATGGTGTCTTAAAATAGCAACATATTAATAAAATTCTCAGGATCTCAAATGCAAAGTTTTCATCTTCATAACTTCCCTGTGGCCAGTGGGAATTCTTCAATTTCCCAAATAACTTACTTGGCAGGAGAGTGTAGGAAGAATGTTAACTACGATGAAGCCCCCAACTACGGGTGCCACACAGATTTAGAAGAGGCTCTTTGATCTAAAGAAGCTACGGTGTGGGGTCCTCCACCTCCAGTTCTCAATCTTGGGCTTCAGCTGCCCCTCCACCCCGACTCCCCTTCCTGGACCCCCCTCTGCCCCACCCCACAGCAAAATGCGAGGTGGACTTGGTCCTAAACTAGCTTAGGCTGTATTTGGGCAGACAGATCCGAGGATCCCTGAGCCTAACCACCAGGGGCTCATGGGAAGCTGTCGGAGAGATGTGGACCCAGATAACTAACCCCTTCACCAAAGACCCCCAGGCCAGAGCAGGAAGGGGCAAACCTGCTCATTTTGACCTCCTCCCCCCGTAGTTTAAAAGAATTTCCAGAGCACTAGCGTGGGGGGCTATCTGGCAGCCATGACGAGAAGAGGGCTCCTCCCAAGCCCCCTAAGGTTCCTCCCCTGGGTGCCCACCCACCACCCTCGCATTGCCTTCAAGCCACTGGCACCGCATGGAGCCCCGAGGCTGAGCTAAGTGCCCACGTTGGGGAGGCCACAGAGAATAAAGGTCACAGCCAGGTTTGGCACTGCTCTGTCTGATAACAGTAGAACTTCGGATCCCACAAATCTCCTGATCTGTGGGCACCGTACTCATCACCCTGGGTGCCGAGGGTTTCGTGTGCTTTGGCGTGTTGTTCCTTACCCGCTCTGTGAAGCAGATGCCACAATCCCCCCATTTCACAGACAAGAAAACAAAGACTTGGCAGAATGAAACAAGTTTCCCCAAGTCACACAGCCAGTAGGCGGGGGAGCCTGGACACAAACACATTTTCCTGGATGATTTCCATGCAGCCAGGAAGGCTAGGGACATTCACACTTGTGAATCCTCAAAAAAAAAAAAGCACATTTGGTTGATACTTTCGTTGCTTAAAAACGAAGGACCTGCGGTCCACAGAGGTTAGAGGACTAGCAGCAGCTGGAGGCACAATTCAGGGTCTGGCTTTCTGTCCCCCAAACAAATTTGTCTGCTGCTCCCTCTCTATCAGAGGCCAGAGTTTTTCAAACGTCCTACTGTTGCCATTTGCTCTGGAGGAAATGCAGTCATTCAGCCAAGAGTCAGCCTTGTTTTAATCTGCACATTCAGGCAAGAGGCAGTAGAGATTCTCATTTCCATCACTAATTACTTCTGCAGCTCCTTTCCAAATGCCCCCCCTCCACCTTGCTTCTTACAGCTCTTGGCCCAGAGGATCAGAGATTTAGAGAATTTGCAGCCACTGAGGACCCCTAGGGTACCCCTAGGCTGAGGTGACCGGTTCACCACTGAAGAAGCAGAAAGTCCAGAGAGGATGTGACTTGCCCAGGGTTACAAGGGTATCCTGAGGAGCCTTCGAGGTCAGCTACATGTACATGTAGCTACAGCTCTAGCTACATCAGTCTCACTGTGACATGGCCCCAGACATGGGGCCCCCTTCTCAAGATGGCCGGTCCCTCATTGACCGCTCCAGGGATTGGAAAGGTGACCTTGTGTTGAGTCAGAATGTGAGTCCCTTCAACTTCCACCCAGATTACCTGGTGCCGTCCACCTAAATTAATATTTATTTGTGTGATCTCCTGAAACTGCCATCTGTCCCTCCCTGAAACTTGGTGGAAACGTTTTGTTTTTACTCCTCTATCTATTCCGTATGGCTAACTCTCCAGGAGCCACTTTAATTCGGTACTTTTCTGAAGCCTCCTTCCAAGCCCACTGAGAGTGTGGCATGGGTGGGTCCAACAGATTAGTAGTGGGCAAAGGACAGCATTTCTGGAAAATAAGAACTGGCGAGAGTCACCGGGACCCCAGGGGCAGGGGGTGTAGACAAGGGCCTCTCGCCTCACAGGGAGGCCCTCCATTCGCTGGAGCAGGATTTTAACCAGGGACCGACCTCCCTCAAGGCGCTGGGATCAGGCAGTGGTACATGTGAATGCAAGTATTGTGTCTTTGAGCGAGCGGGTGTGTTTGTTAGGGGACCGATGTGAGTCTGTGGGTGAGTGTGTAAGTGTGGCGTGTGCCTGAGTGGGGAGTGTGTGTGTGTGTGTGTGTGTGTGAGGGTGTTGGTGAATGTATTTGAGAGTGTTTGCGTATATGGGGGGGGGGAGATGGTACAAAGATTAAAAATACTGTAGCAGTCAGGGTCCCAGCAGGAAACAGATGGCACATGCAGAATGGGTAATGTGAGGAGAGTTTAATAAGGGGACTGTTTCAAAGGTGTGGGCAGGGTGTAGGGAACCCATGAAGGATAGCGCAGGGCCCGGGACCAGCGACGGGACACAGGTGACTGCCCAGGTCTGAAGGGCAGAGGGCAGGAAGCAATTCCTAGAACCCGGGGACAGGAGCTGTGACTCGGCCAAGCCACCAGCGGAGACAGCCTGGGGCAGGGTGGGGAAGGCAGGCACGTGAACCCAGGGATTTCCTCCATGAACATTCAGAGGTCTCTAACCCTTGTATCTCCTGGGTGAATTCATGGACCAGATGCCCACTAAGATGCAGATATCCATCCACATGAGCAGTTTTGCAGGCATTTTCTTTGCTTTAAAAAAGCCAACTTATTTCTACAAGTAAGATATAAAAACATCCTCAGAATAATAAATCCAAGCGATCCTGATACATAGGAGGGACGATGTGGAGACTTCCTCTCCTTCCTCCAGTCTCTCTCCCCTTATAGGAAGTTAGCATCTTGGACAGTCTAATGGGCTTCCCTCCAGTGCTTTTTCTCTGCATTTATGAGGCATAAAACTCCAGGGCTCTGAAGATCTTTAAAAGCCCATCCCCAGACCTCAGATTGAGAGCCCCTAGAGTTAGGTTTGCAAAGCCTTTCGTGCCTATTTTGACAGGATTCACAGCTCACGCTCACGCCCCCGTAGTAGGCTCAGGAAGACAGAGACGTGCCCAGGATTCCACAGCTTAAGCAAGAGGGACACGGGGACTCAAACCCAGGGACCCGATTGATCTGTAGCCATTGCTTCCGGCATACCTTCCACCGTCACATCGTTTGCAACCACATCATTTGCAAGCAAGCGGGAGAGACAGGCCCAGCCGTGATGGCGGGAACGACGGGGCAGAAGCAAAAACGGTGCATTTAGTGACATCAGATCCGTGTTTCTCCTCCGAGCCCTCCGAGCCCAGGCAGCTTCGCTACGAAAAGGCAAGGCAGCTTTGGATTTCCTGTCTTGGTGTCTGGGACAAAAAACACTCGTTCAGCTGCTAGATGTTCCTCATGCTGGAGGTGTTTCTAGTGACGGTTTCGTGTTGGAAATGTACCCACAGCAGCTTTCCTGGAGCTCGGAAATTTGGCGTCTTCCCTGCTTCCATGCAGAAACGTGCAGATCAGCAAGATCTTAGGCCAATTGAATGAGATGGAATCGAAAGTGCGCCCTTGGCTTTGAGCATTCTTTCTGCAATCTGGGTTTTTCTCCTTCCAAAAGCCATAGAATATGTGTTTTTAAAAGCAGCCACTTTCCATCATCTCCGCAGAGACACTCGAAGGCCCCTGTGATGGGGGTAGATTTTGCCTGCCTTCGCCATGATCCGTTTTCCTCTTTGTTTAGGTTCAAGTGGGAGGAGAGGCCATCAGAGCAATCCCGAATTTATACAGCCTTTTATAATTTTCAGGTCTAGCCTGGC